GGTCTCACTTCCAAAAATTCTAATGTAATTATCCTGGAATAGGGTCCTAGGTTTAGTTTTCTGAAAAGCTTCCCAAGTGAAAAGAACACTCAGAAAGAGTCGAGAACCTGAGTTAGGGAAATGGAAAGAAAGGAATCAGCCCCATCTTTCTTGCAACTCCACACGTCCACAAGCCAAGTAGGGACACCTGGGGTCTTTAACTCTTCCTCCACCCTTATTAAATGGGCTAAAGAAGGTCCGTCCTTATAAAGGACCTTGAATGTCTGGGAAAGAAAAGGCTTTTTCTCTGCTAAAAACAGGTGTAATTCACTTACATGATAGGAAAATGTGAAATAATGGGAGCTGGTTCAACCTGCACCTGGACAAAGGATCTGTTAGTTTCTTCCCAGGAACTTTGGTGTCCAGCAGACCTGATTTTACATCCTAGTACTGCAGTTTCTTCAGTGTTATTGTTATGTACCATTGAGTCACCTGAGACTCATAGAGACCCTATGTACAATAGCTCTGAACTCTGCTCTATCCTGAGCCAGTCTCCCTGTCTCTGACACACCTACTCCCACTACCCCAGTCACTGTATCAGTCCATCTTATCTGGGGTCTTCCATCCTATGCTGTCCCTCCACCCTTCCAAGCATGTCATTTTCAAGGGCCCGGTCCCTCCTGGCCACATGCCAAAAGTATGTGAAATAGAACTTCAAAATCCTTGTCTCCAAAGAGCATCCTGGTTTCACCCTCTCTAGGACAAAATTGTTTGTTATCTTGGCAGTCCATGGTATTATGTTCAATACTCTTCTCCAGTGCCACAACTCAAAGGCATCAATTCTTTTCCTTTCATCTTTGGTCTTTGTCCAGTTCTCTGATGCATAGCAAGTAATTTTGAAGATCATGGCCTGAATTAGGCATATCTTAGTCTCCAGACTGACATCATAGCTCTTCAGCACTTTTGAGAAGTGCCTGACAACAGCCTCACCCAGAGTAGTTTGTCTTTTGGTTTCCTCACTGCTGGTGCCAAGAGTGTTGATTGTGGAACCAAGCAAGGTAAAATTGTTAACAACTTCAGTCTCTATTCCATCTATCATGATGCTGCCAACTGGCCCAGTGGTGGGAATCTTTGTTTTCTTGATATTGACCTTCAATTCATATGGAAGACTCCTTGACTTTCTGCAGCAAATGCTTCAGGTTCTCCCCAGTTTCTGTGAGCAAGGTTGTTGATGAGTCTTCCTCTAGTCCTGATGCCACGTTTCTCTTCGTAAGATCCAGCCTCCCAAATTATCTGTTCTGCTATAGATTGAAAAGGTCTGGAGACAGGATACATCCCTGGCACACTTTTTTATCCGATTTTGAACTATGCAATGCTTTGTTCTGAGGACTGCTTCCTGGACCAAGTATAAGTTTCGCATGAGCACAATCAAGTATTCTGGAGTTCCCATCCTTCTCCGAGGTAGACAAAGTTTGTGGTGATCCACACAGTCAAATGCCTTTGCGTAGTTAATAAAACACTGATAGACATTCCTCTGGTACTCTTTGATCTTCATTGTGCCTCTTTGGAAAGTTGCTGATGCAAGACACAAAGTTCATAACAAAAATTCACTTGTATTTTTATATACTAACAACAAACCATTGTTGTTGTTGTTAAGCACCATGGAGTCGCAGGCGACTCATGTGACCCTATGAAGGAGAGCCCTCAATGCCCCTCATCCTCTTTCATCCTCCCTCCAGGTTCACAGGGTTTCCAGAGGCAAACTATTATGGAAGTGGAGGCCACTCCTCCTTCCAAGCTTGTTTTAATCGCAGAGCTCCACCCCACTCTCTGTCCGCATTGGGTAACCAGCCATTAACGCATTTGACACATCAGTGTCACAGTGTTCAGCCTCACAGCAACCACAAGTTACTGCTGTACGGCAACTTGTATGCCAGGGCTATATGACCTAGAGGAATGTCTGAACAAAAACAATGAAAGACAGGCCCAAGGGCCACAGATTAGGAAATTATATTTTTCATTTGTAATCATCATTGCTATCAAGTCATAACCAACTCATAGGTGATCCTTCAGCGGGTCTTCAGAAACTATAAACTACACAGGAGCAGATTGCCCATCTTTCTGCCATCTGGGGAATTTGAACCACCTACCTTTGCGTTAACAGTGCAACTCTTTACCCACTAGGCCAACCTAACTCCCTTCCCTTTACAATAGCATCAAAAGCCATAAAATTCCTAGCATAATTAAATAATAACAACAAAGTGCAAGACTGCTTACATCAAAGTCAGATGAGATGCTCCAAAAAGAATTAAAAAGCAGCTGGCATGGTATCATTTCCTTTTTT